TGAAATCTTTCTAGAATTTCGATATACTCGAAATGAATGTCGATCGTCATGATTCACTGCCAAGTTGTTAAATAACCAAAGAAAGTACATTGTCTTGGGTTCAACAAATCGCGCCGATCATTCGTCGAAAGTAGATAAATTTCAATTGACCGCTTTCTTTCACTTATATCGGACTCGAAGGATCATTACAGCGTGTAATAATGATACCCTTCGGTGTTGAACGATTTATCACCGCGCAGGCGTACTTTCTCTTTCTCAAAGATCGTCAAAAGCATTAATTACACACCCCTGGTTACATCGAGCGAAGCAGCAATCAATACAGCAGCGCCATCAGACGCGGCGGACGGTTTAGGTTAGAAAAAGCGAGTCGCGGAAAAGATCGATCGTCCGTGCAAGAGGAAGGCGTCGATTTCCGCGTCTTCTTCGGGAAAGGCGTCGTGACGCAAGCCGGAGAAACTTTCACTATTCTTAAACAGCCACTAATCAAGATGAAGACGACTGCCAGACGCTCCCCTTTCCTCTTAACCCCTCTGTCGCTGGGAAACCGCTCTCCAAGAACGTCCCCCGAGGTCGAGACCAGTTCGCCGATTTACTTTCATGAAAATAAAAGTCGGCGATCGGTCGACGAATGGTTTAATGGTTCGCCGACTGGCAGATCAGATTGCTAGTCTTAAGAAATTTCCTCTGTTTAAAATGTAAATGTTATGCAATAAAATATTGCGATCGAGTAAATAATTCTTTGTATGCTTTTAGTAAGAATTTGTTTACCGAGTATAAATAAAGACATTTTATGTCAAAGTAATTATTTTTCAGAATAATTTGTGTCTTTTTAGAATGGTCAAATATTTTTAGGTCTTAAGTTAATACTTTGTTAGTTAATTATTTTAAGTATTAAATAGACCGTAATTATTACGAGATTTTTATACGAGATGATATGTAAATGCATGTATTCATATAAATTATGAACAATTTTATTCAGTTTCAGTTATTCAACATGGCTTATGTCTGACTGGTGTACATATTCTACTGGCTGTTTGAAGAGTTCATGTTTTTCAAGTCAACAGAGTGGGTTTTATTCTAATGTGTTTGTAAATAACAATTTTCTTTATTTAAAAATCACTTATTTCATTGGTCAAATATGTACAGTTCACTTAACACTGACAAATTTGAGTTTAAACTCTTTTTCATCTTATAAAATTACTTTAATACATTTCCAATAATTGGACTAAAATTTTATACTTCAGATTCGTCAAGTTAATTTAGTCGAGCAAATATTTTACATAAAAAAATCAAATATATTTAACATGCTCGAAAAGATTTACTAGTTTATAAATTATACTGGATATTCTTTAAACGATTCATTTGTGAAGTTACGTACATATATATGTCAAAACCTTCATTAAACTCGAACGCAATTAATCATTTTATAACGCGTGTAATCATTAAATATATATTGATTGGTGAATTGTAAATATATCGGAAACGATTAATTAGCCACCTATTTTCTGTTGATAAGTTCCGTTTATACTCGTAAACACGTTAAATTTCCGTGATGTCAATCATTATACAGACCTGTTGATTTATAACCTAAAAACTTCTGTTTATAGACTTTTTCTATTATTTGTTAATATCACATTCAACTTTCCTTTCCACTAATAGTTCTGCTACTTTCATTAATCAGAGAACGGTACATTCACAATTTCGAAACACGTTGTACAAGCAAATAAAAGATGAACAGAATGAAGTAAGAACTTTTAATTGTTGGTCTGTGAAATAGAGCACGGAAAAAGCTAAAGCAAAGAAAACTTCAATTGTAACTTAAACTTATGTAGTCTTACTTTTTAATTTCGAAGCTCTGCGTTTATCTACAATTTTTTGCAAAGTTAACAACAAACAATATGCTTAAATAAGCCTAAGTTAAATAAAAAGATGCAAACAGAAAACAAATCTAAGTTGATGTTGTACCTGGAAAAATCTCAATTCGTGAACTTCTATAATACACAATTCGTTGCCTAGTTACATGGTGATAGTAAACTGTGTTAGTAGATAACAAGTTAAAATTTACATTAGAATGTAACTTAAATTTAGTCACCTTTGAATTGTCGATAACGAATGAATCTCGACGTTTTATAGTCCTCGGCAATTCTTTAGATGGTTAACGAGCAATAGTGAGGTTAGTTAGCCAGAACGATGGAAGTTTGAATGCAGTTGATACAAATCTTTTGATGACACGTGCACATGACGCAACAGTGACGCGTTCATGCGAATACACCGCGTTGGTGGACCACAGTGGGATTTCCCACACGGGGTGGCGTGGGCTAGTACGCTTCCTAGCTTGTATAATGTTTTAGACCAAGGCACGTTGCACAATACGCCGTTTACACGTTTTATCTCATCATATGCAGAATTGAACGACACGAAACCGCTCGCGCTAGGTTAGTTTCTCCTTATGTCCGCGCGAACGCGTCAGACCTGGATCCGAATGGAAATTGTTTACCGTGCGGTTAACGTAATCGTTATTTTATTTGGCAAATATACGCAAGCACTTTCGAAACGTCGATTAGATGACAGATTTCGTTAATGTTCTATTCGCAGAAAGCGAGTTTTTACATTGTCTTTCGTTTACTTTTCATTTACGGTAGTTATCTACTTTCTCGACGTTACTCGTGTTTCGAGCACGTGAATTTTTATTTAATTGTTTGTTATTCATCGTTTAACTTCTGATTATTTTTAGTTTCATAATTAGTGTAATTATTTTTATTCTGATTTAATATTTGTTATTGGTTTATTACGTTAATGTTATTGAGGTGACTAAGTTGGACAGTTTGTAAGTATAATTATGGTAATTGTAACATCATTTCGTTAAGTACTTTGTTATCTAAATACAAGTATACTATTTTATTATTTATAAATGATTTTATTTTATCGCATTGGTATTTTTCACTTTTATGAATAAAATAAATAAGTGGAATATTTTTCTGTTAATATTTTATTTAAACGGATATGTAAC